CTATAGAAGAGGTTAGAACTGGCAGGAACCCACCCCTGTCCCCAATCCTTTCTGGCTCTGTGGACTGGCAGTGACGGCGGTGGGGGATGTTTTTGTGTGCACGGCTGTTGCTTACACAAATAGAGCTTCGCTTGCATGCTCACCTGCCGCTTGTGCAGCCTGGTTCCCAGTAGGTTATAGCCTGGTACTAAGAAATGGACCAGGAATTGGGGACCCCTGCTATAATGAATTGTTTTACAGCAATGGTATCATGACGTTATACAAAACATACCCAGAAAAGATGGAAAATAATAGAAATCTGTAATTTATCTGAAAGTGAACAAAACAAAACAAAAACAAAAACAACCCTAAGCTCTGGGTTCAAGAAAGTTATCGAGGCATGAAAGCATTCTTCCTGCTTATAGTTTTGCAGTCAAACTCTTATTGTACAGCTGTCATAAGTAAGCTCTGAGCTCCGTGGTGTAGAGGCAAGATTTTATATAAGTAGGAAAAAAACCTGATCCTGTTCTTGACAGAGATTTAAAGAACTAGAAAGATCAGATTTACTGATTAACTTGTATATGTAACCTGCTAAGGAATCTTGAGTTCTAGCACCAAGAGACAGAGTGAATCAAGATTATGAGTAAGTAGGTTGCCCATAAGCCCACAAAAACTCCAGTGTTGCAAACTGCAAAGCAGATGTATGGGACTTGAACTGTACTTTAGCTTAGCCAATAGAGAAAGAGACAGAGGCAGAATGCAATAAACTACAGACTTGATTTACTGCTTTGAAAACAATCTGGTTTCTGCTTATAACAGATTACCCCTTCCTTTTTATAATCAAGAAAATGAGAAATGAATAATGCAATATTCTCTCAGAGAAAATGCTGATAGTAAACAAGTCTGATGGATGCAATGAAAAAGAGAAGTGGTGGAGTTGAATTTATGCCCTGCTACATTCAGTTTCCATCCCTACTTGTTCATCCAAACTGCAGATTTGATTCCCAGATTTATGTTGAGGCATGTCAATTAATAGTAAATAAGGAGCCCTCTTGTTTTAGTTTACATTTTTTATCCTTCCAACTATAAATAAACCCTACTAAATTCAGTGGCTTCCATGCTTTAATATGTATACACCGTAGTTTTAGACATATAAACTGGAATGATGGCATATGGCTATAATTCCTAGCATGTATTTTTATATCTTGTATTGAGAGTCAACCCCACAGCACTGCGATTCTTATTTTGATTTTAATATTAATGTTTTGTTTGCTTGCTTAGAAAATTTAATCTGATTTCAAACTTACATCTAACTTTAAATAAACTAGACAGTGGACAAATGTTTAGCATAACTATTTAATTCAGGGATGTCAAACTGGATTTCTTCGAGGGGCCGGATCAGCACTGTAGTTGTCCTCCGCAAGCTGGGGGAGGGACGGGATGGATGGCAAATGGGACGGATGCCTCCTGCATCACCCTGCCAGCCAAAACGAGGTGCTGGGGGGGGCATGTGTAGCCCCCTGTGCCCGTTTTCACTAGCAGAAGCACAGTCATTTGCTATTTCCAGGCTGGCTCCGCAGGCCAAATCTAAGCACCCAGCAGGCCGGATCTGGCTCATGGGCCTTGAGTTTGACACCCCTGATTTAATTGATTAAAATCATATGAATAACATTCGATTTACAACCATTCATTTAGTGATCGTTCAACGTTACAGTGCACTGAAAAAATGACTTACGACCATTTTCACACTTACGGCCAGCATCCCCAGGGTCACATGATCAACATTTGGACACTTGGCAACTGGCATGTGTTTATAACATATGCAGTGTCCCGAGGTCATATGATTACATTTCACAACCTTCTGATCAGCAAAGTCAATGGGGAAGCCAGATTCACTTAACCTGTGTTACTAACTGAAGAACCACAGTGATTCACTTACTGAGTGGCAAGAAAGGTCATAAAATGGAGGAAACTCACTTAACAACTGCCTTGCTTAGCAACAGAGATTTGGGGCTCAATTGTACCTGTATATCTTGATGTCTTTCCATAAAACATAGCTTTCTTTTCAAATTGTAGGAGAGGCCAAGGAAGAGGTAAAACAATTTTGAAATTTTAACTTTAAAAGTTTTTAAACACTCAGATTGCCTTAATAAGTTCACATAATTAATGTAAAATTGATTGTCTTTAAAATAAAGAAAACTCCCACTGACTCATCATTTATATGTTAACACAAGAAAAAGTAGACCTCCACAAAAGTTGTCTATTTACATGAAGTTCATTGCAGTTCAAGGGAATGTCCTAAACAAAAGCGATGACTATAATGAAGATGAGAAAAATTCCTGCTTCTAAAAATTGGGAAATTTAAGGGGACACATTTTCATATATAATCAAAGAAGACACAACGAAAATAGAAAAAATATTACAATACATGATATATGACATTCACCAGATTGAAATCTATAATCAGAGAAATTAATCTAGTCTACTTTATGTATATCTAAAAGCATTATTTAAAAAACAGCATGTTTTGACAGGGCATAATGTCACAGAAACCTTTTTACTAAACAGATAGTCCTTTATTTAACATCACAATTGGGACTGCTAATCTATGCTTTGATAAGTGAGTCTCATCCAATTTCATAACCTCTTTTGTCACTGTTTATAAGCGAATCTGGCTTCCCCCATTGATTGTGTTTATTGGAAACCCCCCTGGAAATGTTGCAAATCATGTTCACATGATCTTGTGACATTGCTGCCATTGTAAATACATGCTGGTTGCCCAAATTTTGTTCACATGGCTGCGGAACACTGCATCAGTTGTAAGTGCAAGGACCAATCATAAAGCACTATTTTCAGTGCTATTGTATCTTCAAAAAGTTGTTAAATGAATGATAATAAGTTGATGATTACCCTGTATTGATATTTAGCCAATCCAGTTATTCATGCTAGAGGTGGCCATTCTTGTATTCACTGCTTTATTTCTGCTTAGATTGCAGAGAGGGCCAAAATGCTTTTTGCAAAGCAATGCATTAATGCAATAATAGAATTTTAACCAAATCTCGTTCTGGCCATCTAGAGCTACAGTCTTCAAAAGAAGCTAGTTTTGGAAAATTGAAGGATAAGAAATAAGATTCTTCCCATCAGAAGGATGAAATGAGTGGTAATAGTGATAACTACCAGCAATATACTGGTATGTCTTTCAAAGCAAATTAACAAAAATAACAGCTAAATAAACTTTGGTCCAAGAGGTAAAAGGTGGCACAATTTAACAAGATATAAAAATAATAATATTGCGGTAGCAAAAGCAAAGAGTTATTTTGCACATACTTATCTCCTACAATCCCCAGGTTGATTGTCGGATATCCATGCTCTTGAATTGTTGCTAAAAGAGTTGAACGATTACTATCTCTAATCTTTCCTGGTAACAAGTCATCTTCAGGATTCAATAGCTATAAAAAATAGTAATAGTATTATGTGGGAAATGGGTCAAAATAACTAATTAGGAATAGATTATAGTCAAATTAATTGAACCGTGAAACCACATTTGTTACATAAAATAATCTTAAGACTGTGAACAGGTACTCACTTATAATATTTGTGTGCACCATTACAGTGAACAAACAATTTCTTGAAGATTTGTAAAAGTCTAAATTCAAGCACTTTCCGAGATATTAAAAGAAGTTGCTAAGATCTTCTTTGAAGTTGTTGAGAAGGAGAAATGTGTAGATGGAATTTTATTAGCAATATTTTATATGGTTGGGATGCATATAGCCTTGCATGATGCTTTCCTAAATTAAAAATGTCCCTTTTATCTCAATTATTCTTCTGCTACTTCTCTTTCGCATCATCATCCATTCTTCTTTTAATTTCCTACTGAGATTTTATCTCTGAAAGTATGCACATAGCTTCAGTGATGATGTTACCTAATTTGGATAATGAAACATCTGCAAGCAAACAAGCAAGCTCAGAGAGCACCAAGGACCCCTGATCTCAACCCTGAGCTACAAATATTTTCCTTTATTGGCACATAGTTTCAAATCTGCATATACTAGATTGCATCCAGCTATGTTTATCAATCATGTGATTTTGCTGATGGAAAGTCATTTTGTATCTTTCTGCACATTGTAGGCCTGCAAAGTGGCCTTGTGTGAGTTAAAGGACCTTTTGAAGCAGATTTGTAGAGAGCATGATGGAGAGAAAATTCTACCACAAGGGCATAAAATCCATTTATGCAACATGAAATAAAAGTCATTCCGATTTTGTACTGCTTAACTGTTCAATGAACTGAATTCCATCTCTGGCCAGTATCACTGCCATTTCTGTTTCCCACTTCATAATTCACACCAATTTTGGTTTTTTTACTTGTGAGATTCATACAGTGATACATAAAAAAACTGTAATTCTTTTTGAGTTTTCAATATTTCAGCATAAATATTATCTAAACTTTAATCTGTCTTCCATAGAAGTTCTACAACTAAATAAAAAAACCTAATTAAATAAATGTATAAAAACATTTATTTGTTCATTTATTTGTGGATGAAAATGATTCAAACCTAATATCTGTGTGGGGCAAAAGTATGTGAACCTTTGCTTTATGTAACTGTTTCCCACCCCTCTCTTTGGGCAACAGTAACTGCAACAAAATCTTTCCTCCAACTGTTGATCAGTCTTGCACATGGGCTTGGAGGAATTTTAGCCCATTCCTACTTTCACAATAATTCAACTTGGGGATGTTGGTAGCATTCCTCTTATATGCTCACATAGCAATAGCAATAGCAGTAGACTTATATACCGCTTCATAGGCCTTTCAGGCCTCTCTAAGCGGTTTACAGAGAGTCAGCATATTGCCCC